AAATTTTTTTTTACCATTATAAAGTATATTACATTAGCTTTAATTTAAGATATATATAAAAGTGTCAGACCTTCCGGAACACTTTCAAAAGTTACGTTGAAAAAGTTCTACTTTCTATATGCATTTTTATGTTTTGAATCCCCCCTGTATTTAGGGAAATGGTCCGATTTAAAAAAACAGTATGTCGAATGAAAGATCTATATAAATACTACTTCTCATAAAAAAATTGTAATGATTCATACATTTTTCAAAAAGTTATAGCATAATAAAGTTAAAAATGGAAAATACAAAATCGAAAATTTTCACACAAAAATAGCATTCGGTAGCCATTTTCACCATGAAGATAAGATAAAGTCCGAAATTTTTTTTTTTCATGATAAAGCATATTACATTAGCTTTAATTTAAGATATATATAAAAGTGTCAGACCTTCCGGAACATTTTCAAAATTTAAGTTAAAAAAATTAATTTTTTGTGAAAAAGTTGTCATTTTAAATCCCCCCTTGTGGGCAGGTTAAGGGTTAAATTTATGAAAAAAATATACCAAATGAAAGGTAATGATATTATGCATCTATATAAAAAAGAATTATATTGATATGTTCATTTTTGAAAAAGTTATAGCACTTTTAAGTAAAAAAATTTGAAAAAATTTCGAAAATTAGCGATTTGTAAATTTGTCATTTTTTTGGAGGTTTCCCCCTTTTACGGGGAACGAGGGAATTTTTTTCAATTTTTAAGGGTAATGTCTTCGACTAGATACGATTTGTGATCTTTTGACGTATCATTGAAAGAAATCGNAAAAAGTTCTACTTTCTATATGCATTTTTATGTTTTGAATCCCCCCTGTATTTAGGGAAATGGTCCGATTTAAAAAAACAGTATGTCGAATGAAAGATCTATATAAATACTACTTCTCATAAAAAAATTGTAATGATTCATACATTTTTCAAAAAGTTATAGCATAATAAAGTTAAAAATGGAAAATACAAAATCGAAAAAAAAAAAAACACATCTTAGTAAAACCAATACCTTTTCAGCTTCGCATCGAAGCTAAAATGTTTTTTAAGTACTTCTAAGTTGTATATTCTATAACGTAAAAAATAATAACAATAATAAAAATAGAAATATTAATATTATATTGAATATTAGTCTAATCTTGTATATCCATAATAATGGTTCATGAAATTTAATTAAATTATAACAAAACGTAGAGCTTTTCACATTTTTTTCACTATTAACAGTAATTATAGCTATTTTTATTTAATCAAACATAAAAATTACATATTTTTAATTCTTATAAAATTTCCTGTCATCCATTAAACAGCTATAATTATAGGCCAAAGCAAAAAAGTTATAGAGTAGTTTTGCTTTGATTTTTGTCAATATAAGCTTTAAAAATCAAGTATTGTTAGTTAAACTTGAGAAATAGATCTCAAATTTTGCAATTTACTTTTTAAATATAACATATTAGAGTTGTAAATGGAATTTTTTAGAAATTTCTTCTTTTCGTTTACGATTAATTAATTACATAATTTCCTGATTTTTAATATTTAGCGATTTAAAAAACTAGAATCAATCTGAAAATTCTAAAATCAAATTAGAAATCAGCGACGAAATTCAGAATCTATTTTCATATTGTTTTGGCAAATAAAATTTTTGATTTTTTTTTTGTAGAATCATAACATTGTAACGTGAGTTAGTCAGGGAGATTTTTTAATATATTTTAAACATTTTTGTGCAATACTGTTCTTTACAAAAATGGGTTTTGGGTTGTATCTTTCTTTTAACAACTATTGTTAAAAGAGTATGGTAGATTTAGATAGTATTTTAACGTCAAGTTTTCTGCTACCAGCCATTCTTTCAACTTCTGTCTATCCTCATTAGTTTCAGTATAATCGCGCATGTTCTATGACTGTTAAAGTCTCCTATAACAATATTGTTCATATATCTTTTAAAATTCCAGGGAATTTAAATTCGTACGATTGGACAGGATATTTGTTTACTGATGTTATTAAGCAATTTTTTTAATTCGATGGTCATTATTTCTCTATTATTTATTTGACTAAATCCTATTGATTTTATGACTAAATTAAGTTTTGTTAATATTATACTTCCACATTATTTGTAAAGTAATTCTAAAGCTATTTGCTATGTCTTTTTTGGATGCAAAGTACTTATCATATCTATTCTATACAATGCTCCAACAGTATCTTTAGAACTATATAGTACCTCGATGTTAATTAATATAACTGATAGCGCCAAACCTGAAAAAGGGCCGGTTTAGGTAAGCTTTTTTATTTATCCGCTGGAAGTAAGATTTGTTTATGACATATTCTAATCTGGGTTATACCGCTATGCAGGGTAGCTGCGTGCAGGTTCTTACCATCCACTCATTTCTTAACCAAACGGTATTAACTATAATGTTGAAATCTATAATTTTTGAAAGTTTTATGTTCAAATGTATCTTTATTATATTGCAGTCATGAAAAATGACTCGTTTTTTAATTATAATTTTAATCTGAACATAAACAAAATGTGTTTAAAAATATGCAGATATTTAGCTATTTTTACATGCTTAAGTAAGTTTCTAAAAAAAAATTAATCATTTTAATATTTTTTATGTATTTTATTTTTGATAAAAATTGCCTACAATTTTATTCAAATTTTAACAAAGCAGCAACTGTACATATATACAATAAAATTTAATGATATATATTGTATAGCGATGAAAATATTATGTACTTATTAAGTATAACTTTTTTTATGATTCATTTACAAGATCATTAGATCTTAATGAACCACTTATTTAATCCAAAAATAAAAATATAGTTCCGTTTTTTCCCCAGTTATATACTTTTTTTAAATGTATTAAATATGAAGTATTTTTCATGTTCATCTCTTATGCTTTATAAAGGTGTCAAATTTATTTTTAAAATAACTGTATATTCAATTAATTAGCTTATTTAATTAATAATGATCTAACTAAAAAAATGACTGGTCGGATCAGTATTTCAGAATTTATTAACAATTTAAAGTAAGGACTAGAAGTAAAGCACAGATGTTGCTATTTTTATCAGTAAACATAATTTGATTTTACTCGTCTTCCTACGTAGACATAAATATATTAGTAACTTTTAAAATATTATTTTAAAAGCTGTTATAAATCAGTCATTTTTTTTGTTAAATCATTATCTAATAAGAAGCTAGTTAATTATGTACGTTGCCATTTGAAAAAATAAAATTTTGACAAGCGGAGAAGTGGTAACAGATACAAAAGAAAAACACATCATAGTAAAATTAATACCTTTTCAGCTCCGCATCAGTTAAACAGTTTTTAACCGCAGTTAAAAATTCAATATCATTTTAATTTTACAATTAAATAAGATGTTTAATAAAATTTTGAGAATCCTATATACAAGGTGAATTACTTTATCGTTGACCGCTATATTTCTACCAAAATAATAATAATTTTGACAATATTTAGCTTCGATGCGAAGATATAATTTTTATAATGATGTGTTTTCTTTTTGGTGTCTTTCAATGAAAATTCTCAGCTCTCACTTAATTGATCAACGTTGAAAATAGAAAAAAAATATGTATTAAAACTTAAACTTAATTAAAGATCTTTAATTGTACATTATTATTGGATAAAGAAAAACGTTTTGACGATATACGATATAACAACTTTTAACCAATATTTCAGAAGTTATTAAAATTTTTAAATAGTGACTGGATGCAAGGTACGGAGTATGTTTTTTTAATCATTAAATATCATAATTTTTTCAGCTATAATAGACTCAACAATATGGAACAATGTACTGCTGTAATTTGCAATTCGTTTTCTGCTTGCATACATTATGACTCTAATAGTATCATTTTGTTATTATATAAGTTAAGTTCTTACGTAATCGTAAATAGCTCCAGTTTCTACTATTTATAGTAGGCGCATCATGTTGAAAAGTTGCTAGAAATAATTTTGATGTAAGAGCATTTTTTTAGAAATATTGTAGTATTTCATAATTAAATTAAAAAACTTCTTTGTTGTTTTTTAGTAAAATTATTCTTATGTGCTTGTATTATTTGCAATAATAGCAACACAGTTTTATTCTTCATCAAAAAAATAATCAAAACTATAAAAGCTATTTATTTATTGTATAGAATTTGTATCTGATTGTAGTCTAATTTTATTATAGAATTTGTTTTAACGATTTGTAGCTGCTGACAGATATAATTCTATTTGGATCTACATAATTATCAAAGTTAACGACTTTACTTCTTAACAATTTTAAATCATTGATTGTAAAGAAAAATGTTGATTTAGTAAATTTTGAGCGAAATTAACTGGTAACTTCAAAAAATTAAAATAATCTTCAAAATCATTATGACGAGCAGCAAGATCATGATAGTATTAAGCTAAGCCATTATTAAGTAAGTGACTATAAGTAATGAGAATGGTTTGATTCACAATAGCAGATGTATTCGTTAAGCTAAGCTTTACTTTGATAATTTGGAGTAACTGTTGCTTTTCTGTAGATAATTTCAATTTTTAACTTGGAGTTGTTAAATGCGTGTTTAACGTTTATTAATGTTTTATGTTTTTTTCATGATATTCTGTTTAACATGTCATCCATATTATTTATAAGAAAAGTAAATCAGTTATTAAATAATTAGTTATTCAACTCATTGGTGAAGATTCAAAATTTAAGTATTTAGAAAAGTTACTGAGAGTTTAGTGGGGGTTGGAGTTCCTTCAACCCTCACAAATTTGTTTAATATAAATATTATTTAGAAAAATAATTTAAAAAAAAAAATAAATAATTTTAATGATTTTGGTTTAACATTAAAAATAAATTATATGGTATTTATGTAATGATTTACTGTTATTTTATGACAAATCGAAATTTGAGCACTCCGAAAATGTCTTGAAGTTTATTTATATTGTATTTAATTTTCTTTTATTTAAGCAACCTATTTAATAAATATTATAAATAAAATGAAAAATTGTCAAAAACAACTCATATTTTTATATTAAATATTTTATTATTTTTATATTATGACGTCGAAATTCATAATGTACATTCATATTATAATTTATATTTCAATATGGGCGATACCTATATTAACTGAGCCAATTCCACGTTTAGAATGGGTAATTTGATAATTGAATTTAAATACCGACTACCATAGAGATTTTTAAAAAATCTACATTTCAATTTTACAATCATTTAATTAAACATTAATATAATTTACATAGAGCGAATATGGAAAGTTACAAAATGCAATGAATAATTTTATTGTAAACAAACAAATTACATTGGACAATTTTGTAAAAGCTTTGAAAAAATGTGGAAGTAAATACGATGATTTCAGGAATAAATGGATTATTTCTAAATGTGAAGGTATTAAATAAAAAAAATAAATTAATATCGTTTAAAAAATTAATGTATTATTTATTTTTTAGGTAATCGAATGTTGAATGTAGAACCACTTTTATCATTAGCAACTGATAATTATGGAGGTCAGCAAATAAAAAAAATTGCCACAACTTTTAAAGCTTTGGATAGTAATAATGATGGTAAAATTGCTGTTTTAGATGGTTACATTATATGTATACTCTGTAATCTATCTATAGAAAAATATATTAGTACTCCTTATCAAAGCAAATCAATTTTAGATTCATTAGAAGGAAAAAATGATAATGTTAGCTCTAATTGACCATAATATATATTTTAATATATTATAGTTATTTTTTAAATATATATAGTTATATTTTTATAATAAAAGTCTATTTTAGTATATTTCATACCTGTAGGGGGATCCGTAAGGATCACAGGCTTAACAACTTTGCGGACCTAGTTATCTCAGTGGGAGTGGATGGTACAATCTACCACTGCTAATAACCGGTACTAGCATTGTATTATAGAGTACACTAATTAAGAGGCAAACAACACTCTCACCAGAAGTATTTATTCGGGAACATGGTAATCAGATTATTACAAATAGTCAGACAAACTAAGGTCCTGTATTTTGGTTAATAATAAAAATCAGCTTAACAATGAGAACAATAGAAACCCGTTTCCTGACTTACTGAACACCCTGTATATTGTGGCAACATTAAGCAATGCTAAAAATATTATATTAGCCTTAGTATACCTACTATATGAGTCTTTAAACCCAGACAGGGACCTAATAGCGCTACTTAATTATTGTAATAAGGAAATTTAGAACTTATTCTTTCCATACTATATGTGGGAGCAGTAATATCAACCAAAGAGACGAGGCACTAATAGATCTACTTTTGACTACAAACATAAGTATACTGAATAGGGGTAATGAGCTTACTTTTATAATCAGGAACAAGCAAAAGTTATTGATCTATAAGATTTTGTTGTCAGTTCGAATGCACGGTTAAGTATGACGTATTTTATGGTCGAAGTAAATTTATTGTGGGGTTAGTAGGTAAAGCTGTACGACTAAACATTGAATTTTTTTTAGGGAGGTGGTGGTGGGAGGTGCATTATAACAATTACACGAAAAGCCTTGTTGCCTCTTGTCTTTTGATTAATGTTAATCAGTTCAATAATTAAGCGTAGTACTCATGGCTCGTATCGGATAATGTTATTGGTAACGTTGGCCATATTGTGTGGTTTTGGGTTGTTATCGACGTTTTTATCACACCCTAAACACAATCTAGTAAGTCAACAATGTGGCGCTGTTTTGTAATGAAACGGGACATGGTTGTCTTGAGCATCGTTGGGGATAGATCAACTAATCTAATTTCTCTTCAAACAACTACATATATATCATATCATTTATAAATTTTTGAGTTACAAGTAATATAGGATTATGCTACAGTGGAAAAAAAAATTAAAAACTGATCAAAAAAGGCACTGCCCGGGTTAAAACTATATTTAAATAAAAAAAAATAACGATATTTTACTGCTGACTACAAGTTAACGATTCTGACAAAAGAAAAGTGCAAATATACATATTTGTATAACTTTATGTTATTTATATAATATACAAAATACCTTTCGGTAAGAAGAAGAAGTAAGATGGCGGATAGTGTAAGCAATCGTAAGACGTCAGAAATAAAAGAGAACGTTCACCGCCAGAGCTCAGTGGTCGTCCACACTCCAGTAGATAGATTTTGCACCATAGATAGATAGCATAGGGAACGCTAATCAGACTGGGCCCGCGGTATAATAAGGCGACTGATGAAAGAGACGAGGTGAACGTGCTTTGAAAGTGCTTGGTGAACAGTTAATAATTCCGAAAAATACCCAATTAGATCATTTTCTAATGTTATTAATTAATTTATTGTTCTTTTAACGAATTCAAAAGATAATTGTTGTAAAATAATTTTAAAGTTATTATTTACTTAAATAATCGAACAGTTTTTTTTTTCAAAAACGATAAAACCAGCTATTAATAGACATTAAAAATAACTAAAATTATAACAAAAAGTCCCAATTGCACAAACAATTTTATGCAAAATAATATCGTTAAGAATTAAATGTATAGCAATAAAAAGGTAAAATAGTCTAACTCAGTATGTTTACTGTTTATAACATATTTTTAATTTACACTATTACTGTAATTGTTGTACACAGTAATTAGATTTAAAAATTTTATAATATCATATTTAATTCTAATAAATTAGTAGCTACCATAGTTGAAATATTTTTTAAAAACCGTTTTGCTATTTTTGTTTTTCAATCTTTTCATTTTACAATTGGTCAACATATTGTCTGTTGACTTTATACCAATTGATTTATACCAAATAGATGATTGCACTAATTAGTTCTAACGGTATACTCCAAAAGGGATATTATTTAATATGTTCAACTTTTTTGAACTAATTAACAATAGCCTAAAATTTTTTCTTGTGATAACTAAAACTGAGGAGACTGTGTCATTGTTACATACGATTTGTATTGATTGATTATTGACTGGAGTTAAATTGTCAACAGTTAATTTTTTAAATCTGCTAATTTTTAGATAAACAATTAATAATATATCAGTATTTTGCACTACTGTTTCTTCTATAGTTAACCTCATTGCTTCTATTTTATTTTCGAGTTCAACAACATTACGTTTATCTTCGCGACGTTTATTGGGAACTTGTACAATAATATATTGTATAACGTCTGTTACAACTCTTTCGTTGATGCTGAATAGTAAATTTATTAATTTATCTTTATTGTACAATTAGGTAAAATTCTAAAATAAAGTTCCTCTCTTAGCTCTGTTTCATTGATAATTAACAATATATTTTTGTCCACTTATTCAGTATTATTTATTTTGAAATTGTTGAAGAACGTGAAATGAACTAACATAAAAACGGCCCAAAAAAAATTAAAAACAAAATTGTTGCAAACGAACTTAATACGAATGCATAAACGTATGATATTTATTTTTAATATGTATTTCTAAAGATCCAAGTTTAATGATACATAATTTAATTTTCAAATTATTAATCGAATTAAAATGAACCATAACACCATGTACTTGCACTTGAAAATAATAACTAAATTGTAGTGTTAAATTTTATATGAATTAAATAATTATCATAATTTATTACTATATCAGATAATAACATTAAAATAAAAAACTCAAACGAGCACTGGGGGGTCGCGGCACAGTGGTGACGTTGCATAGTTGGATCAAGTATAATGATATCTGACAGCGATTAAAATCACTATAAAAAAAAAACGCTTCGATGCAAATCTTTAGATAGTGTTTAATCTTAAAAAATTGGTGGATTATTCCAAAAGCTACATGATCTACTAGTTCCTTATTAATATTCTGATTAAGATAACGTATGTCGAATGAAAAAGGGATTATTAAAAATATTATTTCTCATAAAAAAATTGTGTTGATCCATACACTTTCCAAAAAGTTATAGCATAATAAAGTTAAAAATGTAAAATACAAAATCGAGAATTTTCACACAATAATAGCATTCGGTAGCCATTTTCACCGTGAAGATAAAATAAAGTCCGAAAATTTTTTTTCCCATAATAAATTACATTACATTAGCTTTAATTTAAGATATATATATATATAAGTGTCAGACTTTCCGGAACACTTTCAAAAGTTAAGTTGAAATAGTTAATATTTTGTGAAAAAGTTATAATTTTGAATCCCACCCTGTAAGCAGGTAAAGAGTCAGATTTATAAAAAAAATATACCAAATGAAAGGTAATGATATCATGCATCTATATAAAAAAAGAATTATATTGATTTGGTTATTTTTAAAAAAGTTATAGCAGTTTTAAGTAAAAAAAATTGAAAAAATTTTGAAAATTAGCGATTTTTAAATTTGTAATTTTTTTGGAGGTTTCCCCCATTTACGGGGAACGAGAAAATATTTTCAATTTTTGAGGGTAATGTCTTCGAATAGATACGATTTGTGATCTTTTGACGTGTCGTTAAAAGAAATCTTTTCGGTGAGAGCTGAAAAAAAGTGGTAACAGGCACAAAAAAAAAAAAACATATGATAGTAAAACCAATACCTTCTCAGCTTCGCATCGATGCTAAAACACATTATTTCATAAAGATGCTTAACCTTCAGATGTCATTGAAAAATATAAAGTTAGTACCCTTATAAAGGATAAGGGTAAAATCTAAAAAAAATTTTACCTCTTATAAATTGAAAAATGAGTTACATTAAACAAACCAAAAAAAATTTCTTAAAAAATATTATTATTCTAATAGAAATTTAGTGGTCAAAAATTAATCAATCACTCTGTATATTTTATCAAAAAACTTAAGTACCTAGATAGTTTTTTTAAACTTTAAATTAGCGTTTCGATAAAGAATAAATAGAATATTAATTTACTTTAACTTATTTTATCACCAGCGGTGTAATAATGTACCTAAGAAAATTTATAAAATAACAAATTTGTACTTTGAAAATTGTTTATTCTCTAAGGATAAACTGGAGGTGAAGTGCGGGTCTATTTTTTATACTCTAAACATTAATGAATCCACACTACTTCCGCATTATAATATAAAATTTAATATCTTTTAAAGTACTATTACAACAGTTGTTATACAGTTTTTAAGAATAATTTTTCTTAGATAGATGATTGTTTGTAAGTTAGTTAAACGTATATATATATATATATATTTTCATTTAAAAAGCTAAAGTTAATCAAATTTTAAATGGTAAAGAAGGGGAGTAGACCAAATTGTTTACTGATATTTATAGTACGTAAGATACTATTAACTTCTGAAAAGAAAAAATTGTATTGTTCTATATATATTTAAAGATATTGTGTGAGTCATAGTTAAACATAACTTATCATTTCTATTAGATTCTATTACTTTGGCAATTTTGAGGATTATAAATTTAGTAGATATATATTTGTTAATAATTATTCTAAAACGTTAAAAATGATGTAAAATGAATTATATAATTTGTAGATAATTATTTACTACTACTTTCTGATAAATCGAAATTTGAACACTCCAAGTACGTTTTAAAATTTACTTATGGCACACTTAAGATCCTATTAGGTTATAATTGTACATTTGTTTAGTTTGGAAGGAATCAACTTTTTAAGCTTTTTTTATTTAACAACTTAGTTAATAATTTTTATAAATAGTAAAAAAATATTTTATAAATTATCATTTTTAGTTTTTTTAAATGTAACAAAGTATTTATACTGATAAAGAGTAAAATGTCAAAATTAATCATGTATTTTCATATTACATTGACTATTTTAGTTTGTGCGATACCTACATTCGCCAATCCAATTTCAAGTTCAGAATTGGTAATTTAATAAATGAATTTTAATACAAAATAAAATAGAAACAATTTTTAAAAATCTACATTTCAATTTCATAACCATTTAATAAAAAATAAAAATATCTAATTTGTATTTAGAATGAATACGTACAGTTACAGTATGCAATGGATGATTATATTGTAAATAAACAAATTACACTGGACAATTTTATAAAAGCTTTGGAAAAATGTGGAAGTAAATATGATGACTTTAAAAATAAATGGATTAAATCTGGACCCACAGGTATTATACAAGAAATTTAAATAAATATCATTCAATAATTGCATGTATTATTTATTTTCTAGATGAACGATTGTTGAATGTAGAACCACTTTTATCATTAGCAACTGATAATTATGAAGGTCAGCTAAAAAAAAAAATTGCCACAACTTTCAATGCTTTGGATAGTAATAATGATGGTAAAATTGCCGTTTTAGATGGTTGCATTTTATGTTTACTCTGTAATATTCCTTTAATAAAATATCTCCGTTTTACACATATCGACAGAGCAAGCTTAGATTTTTTAGTAGAAAAAAATATTATTAAAATTGGTGATAACGGTAGATTTGCTCTACGGCAAGATATGAATAAATAATTTATATATATTTTTTAATTACACATATTTCTATAGTAATTATTTTTTTAATAAATTTAATTCTTATATACGTATAAATATTTTTATATATTATACATTTAATTAATATTTATTTATTAATAATGTTTTGCATTGATTTTACTGAAAAATATTTGTTATATATTATCAATTGAGTATTAATTTAATTCAAGAATAAACTAATCATGAAAGTAAAATAAAATTTAGAATGTAATGTTTTTTAGTTTCAATGCGAAGCTGAGAAGGTATTAATGAGGGAAATTTCCAAAAATTTGTCGATTTTTAAAATCGGTAATTTATTTAAACTTCCACAATATTTTTAAAAATTATCAAAAGAAAATAATTTTTTTGATATAACGGATGTATTTTTCTTTCATTTTGTAATAACTATTCAAAATCTGACTCTTTACCAATACACAGGGAGCATTGATACAAGCATTGATCCTCGGTAGTATAGTGGTAAGTATCCCCGCCTGTCACGCGGGAGACCGGGGTTCGATTCCCCGCCGGGGAGACAGTTGACACGACTTGCGTCGCAAAAATGTGGTCGACACTGGTTTTGAGGGTAGAGCCCGGGGGCCGTTTATTAAATGAGCGACAACAGATTATTTTAACAAAAATAAAACAAACCGAAAAGATAAACACAGTAATAATAATCTTCGCATAATATCGCGGCACTTTCGCTGGCGTCGACGACGCGATGTCCGGCGTAATCCTTGGACGGCTAAAGGTTAGCAGCGTTGTAGGCGACGGTGCGCGGGTGCGGTTCGGTTGGTCGGCGTTGTCGCTTTCACAACGGGAGGAAGACTCTCGCACCATTTGCGGCGGGTCGTCGTCGGCCGTGCGGCATTTGCTGGACTTTGCACCGTAGCGTATAACACGCGGTGTTGGTCAGTCAAATATTCATAGTAGGGCGACGGCTGATAAAGGTGGCACGAGTCGCGGGGCATCGTGTATAACGAAGCGACGCGGGCCGTGTCAAAATTATGCACAAAAATTATACTTTTTTAACATAACTTTTGAAAATGTTCTATAAATACTCAAACGTGTGTTTAAAAAAACGCTATGTTATGCACTATAAATTAAAAAAAAAATTTGTCCTTACAACTTGTCTTCTGTATGTATAACTGCAATTTTTGGTGTTAAATAAATGCTAAGATTGAAATATTTACAATTATATTCCGTATAGTTATATCTAATAGTTACATTCTATAATGTAGTAATAATCAGAAATATTGAGTTTCACCAATGATTTTATCCACTGATATGTAGTTGATTTTCATTTTAACTTAGATTTAGTTATTTATTAGTTTTTTCATGTGTAAATAATCTGTTATTTTTACATATTAAAAATTAGAAGTATTAGAAAAAATCTGATTGCAGATTTGAAATCAACGTACAAATTGATTTAGAAAAAGTATATTTTAGTCACTGATGAAAATCCCTTGTACACTTGTAAAAACCAATTTATTTATAATTGTTTTCTGAAAAAGTTTGCATCATGAACTTCAGTTTTTATAGTCCTTTGCCATAGAAAAATATAACAACTTTATAATTTTTTATAATTACTCCGTAATATTAAATTATTGAATATCAATTTCATAATAATATTAATTACTATATTAATTATAGTTTTAATAATTAATGTTATAAACTAATAAGTATTTATTCATATATTAAACCTATAAATCATTTTCACTTTTTAAAACTGTCATAACTTTTGAAAAATGAATGCATCACAACAGTTTTTTTTATACCAATTTTTATAAAATTTACATGAATATAACGTGCATTAATTATAAATTTATACTTATTTTGCCTCCTCGAAGTTCAAAAATGCTTCTTTAAATTTTTGAATTAGTTTAAATTGCCCTTTTTATCTACCAATTTATATATTGTACGATAGTTGAGTAGAGATACCATATTTTTATACGATCGGAGTACGATGTTCGAACCCCCCTGTCAAAATAACTTTTTTTGCCTTATTTTTAAATTATATTTTGAGGTGGCAAAAAATTCAAAGTTCGTTTAATTTTTATCTAATTTATTTCACAATAGCTACCCCTTGTGAGAAAAAAAATTCTTATTTATATTAAAACATTTTTCTATATGGTTTTTTTTTTGTGTCTGTAATTTTTTTAATATTTTTTCAACTTTCACTTGATCAATACGTCAAAGAACACGATTTTATTCTTGTTGAACTTAAAATCACCATATACTGGAAAAACCACTTTAATTTTAGAAATTCAAGCAAATATCCCAAAATTACGCTAGTGTAAAAACGGGCATTTCAAAAAAACTTTTTTTATCAAATATCTCCAAATTAATAGGATTATAAAATTCGTTTTTATACTGAATAATTAATTATAAATTCGTTTTTATATCACTAAAATATAATATTTTTTAATTATTATAGATCAATATATACCTTATTAAATTACACGTTTTCGCTGATTTTTGATGTCTGAAATTAGAAACACATAAAAAAATTTATTTAAAAAAACCATTGTTAATTAAGTTATTATTGATTCTTAAAATATTCAAAATAATCCGTGCAAAATTTTAATTCTTAAAGACATTTTCAACTTATTTTTTTAATACTTTAAAGTTGATTTATATAAAAGTTTATAATTTAAAAATGTTGAATTTTTAAACTTAATTTGATCTCAAATTGCAAGTTAAAAATTAATAAAATTAAATAGAAAATTTTATGAAGAATAAAATATTTTATTTTTTTGCTTGAAACTTATATAATTACTAATACAGTAAATTGATGAGGCAAACTTAACATTTCGTTAAAATCACCAATTTTTGTTATTTTTATTGTAATAAATCATTTAAGTAGAAATATTAGTAATCATTTCTGTTCAACTATTGGTGTTTAAATAATTATTTATATTGATATACTGCACATAATATATTGTGTTTGTTACGTATATTTTTAATTAAAATATATTTGTTGATTATTCATAAGTAACCTAATAATAAAACAAATATTTGTTATATTAATCAAAAGTATTTTGTTATTATTTAGTCCATATTCGTAACTTTAATTGCAGATTTGAAATCGATGCAAAAATGGGTTTAGAAAAGTATATTTTGGTCTTTGATCAAAATTCCTTGTACACTAGTAAATTAATTTATAAGTAATAAACAATTTCTTTTGAGAAGTATTATTTTTTTGATGTGTATGTCATAAAAGTAATAACTATTTTATATTTTTTTACAATTTCTCCGTAAAAATAGTAAATGATTAATATCAATTTCATATTAATAGCATTATTTAATTACTATAATAAATATTTATTCATATATTACACTTATACGCCATAAAACTTGTAATAAGGATATAAATAAGGAAATAAGAGTTCATTTTGATTTTTGAATATTCCATCAATTTTTAAAATTAAACACTATTCATAGATTTGCATCGAAGCGTTTCTTATGATAGCGATTTTAATTACTGTCAAATATTGCCTATACTTGTCCCAACTATGCCATGTCTACACTGTGTTATCGTTTTTTTACCTCCATAAGGTAAAGACTTCACGATAAAACTAAATTAATATTTTGCGTTATCAAATTTGTTTGTGAAATAACAGCTAACGACCTAGTAAAGTTGGAAAAGCTCTTGTATGAATAGCAACTGATTTCTTTCGACATTCAATTTAAAATATCAAGACACAAAAAGTTGGAATAATCAGTGTAAAGTTATGTTTTTAGGTACACATAAGTTTTCATACAAATTCCATTTACTCTCCCCAGAACGGCCCAGAGGGATTCATGTGCATGGCACCGTTATTAAGATGTTACATCGAATGTGTGTGTGGTAAAGAATAAGGTAAACATCACTAGGAGGAAGACCCATCCCTCAAGCAAGCATTTTCTAGTAAAAATATACAACAATCTACGCGTGGATTCCCGTCGGGCGGCATCGCGTCGAGCGCTACCAGCCCTCTTCCACACCCCTCTTCCCTCACCTGCCCATCAAAACAAGACCGACGGTCGTAGTATTGGACCAGTCTGCCGCTGTCGCTCTCAGTTAGTACTCGTACGTCTGACCTTCTGCGCTGACTGTCTGTGATACGATCATTTTGACGTCGTTTGTCTATCATTTCGAATTTTCAAAGGCAAAGTGGTTGTAATTAATTGATTTTTTTTTTCGCCGTCTATCGAGTGGTCTTTTTTTATTTTAATATTGTTTAATTGATTTTTCGAACTTAATTGAATCTTTTATCCGTGTGATGTTTGAACGAGAGCAGGCAATTGGATATCACGGAGATTTTCTCACTTAAGCTTTTAGGGTTGTAGAACCGATGGTGGCAGCGGACAAGGATGACCGACCGGTTCGACAATCGTCGACCGGTCGTTGGGCTGCTATCTTAGCAATATGTTTGGGTATTGCGATTTACGCGTGGCACGTGCACACATCATTGGAGTATCGTGTGACCGTGTTGGAGACTGTTGTAGCCAACATGCAGCAGCAATTGGCAGAATATCAGATGATACCTCAGCCGCTCAGAAACAAAAGGGATGCGACAGCTGGACAATGTCTGTGTCCACCTGGTAAGTTATTATAAAAATACAAATTTTGTTGATTTCTGGAAAAAATACGAACTGAGGAATGTATGCTCTGTGACCTTGGATAGCAAACTGTAGTGTACTATTAGATATTTGATAATAAGTAAGAGTGCCGTAGTTCATTGTAACTAAAGCTGATGGTTTAAACTTAATCGTTTCCAGTTAAATTAAATGATAATTACTTAAATCAAGTATTTGTATTCAATTATAATGTAACTTTATAATTTCGTTTAATAATAATTATAAACCAAGAACAAAATTTTGATACCCGAATGAAAGCTCTTTTCATCATAATACTCTCGGATACATTATTCCTATTGTTATATGAAATATTTTATTGAGGTAAACAAATGGAGATGACTTGCTTTAATGTATAATTACAATATAATACCGGTCTTATTACAAGAATGGCGGATAATGATCTCAGGAAAGAGGTGCTTGAGATTAATGTGCTGGTCGTGTTAAAATTTAATAACTCGCTTCAACAATCTAATGCGATTGTTAAACCTGAAGAAATCATAGCTACTTGTAATATTACAAATATGTATAGGATTCGCAGGCCTTGAAAGATAAATAAGGACCCATTCTCTCTAGTTAGTATTTATAAATTGTGAATATAACAGATGAGTGATAATTGGTCGGTATATTCAAAAGCACACATTAGTTTTAATTACTTATTATGTCATAATCGTTTACATCAACTACATAATTTTAATTACAACAATAAAAATATCATAACAGCTCATACTTACTCCCGAAAAACTCTCAAAGAGGATATTTACTTTTCATAAATTATCACTGAGTTATATTTTTCAGTATTATCAACAGTGTAGGAAATCTGATTGTAGATAGATAGGAGATAGAGGATAGAATGGGGTGTTCTACGAGCAGGTATTGGTTTGCCGCCAAAAAAGGGTGATTTTTCAGTAGAAGACCTCACGCAGTGCTATAAAATATTATGGCATACGTGTAATAATAATATACGGGGATGCAAATCAGCAAAAGTCTCCAATAGGATTTTGGCAAATACCCTCGTTTGGAATTTTGATTAATGGATGATCCGACATCGTGGCCTAAGTTTTATGGTCCGTGAAAGACGAGGTGTAACACCCTCCCTGCCACTGAGATTGTATTTATTTTATTTTTGTCCGCGTACACGCATAATAACCGTGTTATACACAATAAAGTATAGAAACATTTTTTTATATACTCTCTTCTACCCGCATAATAATGTATGACACTTTGAAAAATCAATATTGCAAACCGGTCCATGACATACCCCGTGCCCGATGTTCCATCAAACGCGCTTCCCTCGTTTATGATGTGTGCATTAGGTTGTTTGTTGTCAAACACTATACATATAAGTGCTTTTCTTCTTTTATTAAACTTGGTTCCACCCCATAATCGTTATACACCTATTCGTTCAGAGAGTTTATAATGTAATAATATATACACGTACGTTCAACCACATTTGTCCCCTGGGTTTTGACAATAGGCATTGGGATCACAGCGGCGGCGGCATCTGGTGCCTTTGGCAAAAAATCGAACAGTCGCATGTGTCTGTGTGACTCGGTTGGATATTTGATACCTTTTTGCAAAATCTCACATTTAAGATTCTCTATTGACGTCACGACATCTTTTTTATGCTACCAGCCCTGAAATGGCATAATGTAAAATATTTTAACTAGTAGCGCAACAAAAGCGTTAGGATAATTCTATACAGTATAGTTATCAGAATAATGTTTTTTTAGGGTATGACGTTTATAGTAAATGACAAGTTTTCATTAACTTTACGTTAAACAAAATAGTTTGTTAAATAAATTAACAATGACGTTCTTTAATTTTCACCAGTAGATTGCAAATTGGATCCTCGGGCTATTGTAGGGATAAGGTTGAAACTACACTGTAGTTATTACAAATAATGTTGTTTGTTAAAATTCTAAATAAACCTGGTTTAATCATTTTGACACCCCGGAGCACACATTTCCTAATTTAATTTGATATACGTGTGCACTAATAGAGAAATATTGAGTATTGTATACAAAAAATACATTTACATAGAAATCGAAAAATGTATTATTCAACTAAGATAATTTTACTTAGGAGATTAATTTAACTACAAAAATTTATATTACTAACATTGGGCGATACAGAAAAATGTTTTATAACGCAATTTAAATATTCTTGTTCAATTAATTTCAAATATTTTTTTCTGAAAATTTTCAAAAAATGCTAATTATTTTATAAGTACTTATATATTCTAGATTGAAACGCAATATAAACAACTTATTTATGTAAAGTTTTAGTGTAAATATTTTTAATAAGATTAAATAATATTTTGTGGAAAATATTATTATTTAAAAATATTGAAATAACAACTTATACAAAATCACTTTTCTTTAAGTAACTATTAACTTCATAATAATACAGTAAATAATATATTTTTATTTTATTATATAGGCTGGTATAAAGTTTTTGAGTTAAAACAAATTGTTACAACTTTGATTTACTATGAAATAATAAAATAATTACTTTATGTTCGATATTTAGTTAATTTTTTGACTTGTATTAGTTTTTGAATTAACATTAAATTTCTATTACAAATAATATAGGTTATATAAAATATTCAATCCCCATACTATTTTAAGTTAAATATTAAAATAATTTTCTAATTATTTAAAAATAAATTTCGAGTAAATAATTGTTTACTTTAATGCTAAGCTGAGAAGATTTTATTTTTTTCTGTATGTTTTATTAATTAATTAGTGGTAGAGTAACATAAATATTTATTTCCACGAGGAAATCCCTCATAGTTTTAAGGGTATATAATTTTCTCAAATATTGTATTCAAAAAAAGATTTTCTCTTCTTTAAACGTTTTTCATAAGTCATTGTATAGCGAACAACGTTTATTTATTATCAGAGGAAGAAATAATTTGATGATAAGATATATTTGTGAAAATCATCGCATTGCACTATTATTGTAACCGTAAATTTAAATGGAGTGATTTGAAATATATATCTTTGAAAGTGCTCCTCTATCACAAAAAACCTAATATTATTTCATCATTTTAAAATGTTGAAAATCAAAATAACAGGGTTACAATATTTTTTTTGATAAAACAAAGGCACAATTTCAATATTATTATTATTATTAAACAAATTCAGCTTTAAATATATAAATAAATGATAAATTTAGCATATTGACCAATATAACCCTATTTACAATTATTTTGTTGGAAAAGCTGATAAGTATGCACTAAACTTACTTTTTACGCGTGTTATAAACTTTATCTTGGTATATATTACTTATGATATTGATCTTTTATTGTTAGAATGTAACATAATTATAATTGTAAGTTTTACGGTCAAATTTACAAATGTAGTAAACAAATAATGAATGATTCATAATACGGACTAGAATGACTCATTGAAGTATAAAAAAGTATTGAAATACTATACTTTTTTATATTTTTCTTTAAAAACTATGCAAAAATTGTTTATTTATTTTATTGATTTATACAGTTTTGTATGCAATTTAAAAATATTAAAAATTACAAATTGAACACGTAATTTTTATATATGTTAAAAAAAAAATACTTTAAAAACACTAAATAGGACAAGACGTATACAATAATAAATTTAGAAGCGAAAGGGAATATAAATTAAAATATTATTTTTGATTCAACATACTAACATGATAAAAGTCATAGTCAAAGTTTTGATGAGATTAGTAATATATTTAGGTATGTTTTTTTTCATGACTGCAGAGTGGTTTTTATTCAAAATTAGACGTAAGTAAAAACAGAGATAATGTTAAAAAGAGAAGATTCAGCACTTCAAAAAAAATTTCCCGACATTTTTTCCAAGTAAATGGCATTTATAATTTGACGAGGGAATACGGCAACTCTTTTACTTGTTTCATTTTATTTAGAACGTTAAAATACCTATTCAATGGTCATGACACTTTCATAGAGAAATATAAATGAAATTTCACTCATTCTCACTTTTTCCTTATTTATTTTTGATAAGTACGTATTTTGAACATGTGTTGACGTAGTAATGTCCGCTACTCAGTCGCCTCCCTCTTTTTGACTCAATATATAATCAACGGTGATTGTAGAATTTAACTTTGATTTAGCCTTGTATTGCAGTCTTAATAAACCACTTGGGAATAGTCTATAGGAAAAATATTTATACTCGCTGATTATTTGTCGATCGTACCTCTCAACTAGAGTCGAGGGACTATAAAGTGAAAATGGACGAATATTAATAGCTCTAAGGGTATTGAAATTCCTGTTAAAAACTAATGTAATAATTTTCATAATATGTACACATTCATTCGCATGAACCGAGTTTCTCCAGCTCCTCTTTGTCTAACCATATCGCCATTAATTCATTTGGGCAAGAGCGCATACGTACAGGAGCTATAACATGTATATACAAGTATTTCAATTGTGGTTTTGATTACCTGTATCCGGTGTATAGTTCACACAAATAACCCATCCGTTCCCATGGTTCATCGCCCGGATCGACAGCACAGTAGATGACACTTAAATGATGTTATTATTTTTGGTGGTAGTTGCATTATAATTATTATCTGTGTCACAATATAGAGATCATATTATATAAAATATTGAACTAAAATTGTTTTTCTCAAATTAACATTATCCGTTAGAATTTATTTAAAAAAATTTTCTTTCTGGCCATTTCTGGCGAATTTTTAAATTGAAGAAGAAAACAGTGGCTAACATTGTTTTTTTTTTTTTTTAATTGCGATGTGTAATAGTCAATTTAAATTGTTCTTTGTTTTTTTCTTTGACTATTTATTTATAATTGATGTCATTTATACGTGATGACAGCACTCTACACCAATCGAATTCTAAGCATCGTTGACGAAAACGCTGTCGTGTGCCGTACATTTTATTCATAACGTGCTGCGATATATAACCAGCGATCCATTTTAATTCGGTTGTCGGCTATCAA